TTTCTTTTTCTTTGGTATGATTTTTTCTCTTTCTTGCAGAAAGAATGTTCAGTCATTCGCGGAAAATTTAATAGCATTAGACATGAAGGTGAGGACGATGATCATGGAGAGTCTCGGCCTCGAGAAATACATAGAGGAGCACTTTAACTCAGCGAGGAAATACTTTCGTCTTATTAAATATAGAGGACTTGACGAAAATTCAGAGGAGCAGCCAGGCCTCAACCCTCATATCGATAGCCATTTCCTTACAATACTTTGTCAAAATGACGTAGTAGATGGCGTGGAGATCAAATCCAAGGATGGTGAAGAGTGGATCAAAGCTAAGCCAACTCAAGACTCTTCGTTCCTCGTTATAGCTGGAGCTTCACTTCATGTAAAATTAAGCTTAGCTTCCTTGAGTTTCAATCATGTAAAATTATCTTTAATCATTCTATCAACATCATATATATGGGTTTTGTAGGTATTACTTAATGGTAGGGTGTTTCCTCCGTTTCACCGTGTGGTTATAACCGGGAAGAAAGATCGCCACGTGGCTGGACTGTTCTTGCTTCCCAAAGAAGGACTGATTATAAATGCACTAGAAGAGATGGTCGATGATGAGCATCCTCGTCTCTATAAGCCTTTTGATTTTGAGGCTTACTTCAAGTTCAACATCATCAATAGGTCCGATACCTATAAGAGGGATTTATCTGCTCTCAAGGCTTATTGCTCTCTCTCTAAATAAGATTGATTCCTTGCAAAGAAATAAAGCTACGCATATGTGTATCATTCACTAGCTGTCTATGCTTGTTTCGTTTACTCTTGAGGTGGTTTGTTATTATTCTTACTTTGTGTTGTTGGCTCTTGAGTTGGTGACTTACTGAAACTCCAAAATGGGATTCATGCTCAAAGTTCAATATCTAATTTTCTGGTTCATCTAATAAGTTCAGTATCTAATTATGATTTGTTAATCTGTCTAATATAATGCATGCATCATACATGCAGATGTATAATCGAAAAAAATGAAGGGTTTAATTATTCAAATGTTCAGCAAACGTCTAAAAATAAAACATCGCCATATCAGTTTCAACCTCTACAACCGTCTATTAATTTGGGGGGAGGAAAGAGATGTGCCTTGTACACCAATCTCAGATTTTAGGTAGTGCTCATTGATGCTGCTTCCCATGTCATCTAGTGAAGCCATTACAAATTTGTTAACTAATTCTCATCAATGCGACTTACATAATTTCAAATTTCGCCATTATTATACAGTTATGTACCTAACACACTATTAATTAACTTTTTTAGCAGGTGATTCATGACATGTGAATTACAATGGGACTGTACTCCATTGATTAGGTAGCACATCAAATTCTTCTGACTATATAATAAGGAAGCAATTATTAGCTTCCTAAAACGCACATGGTCAGAGTCTTTTTAATATATTTCAAGGAACTAGAGTACACACTTTAATAATCCATGAAGCCTACAAACCTATAATAATAGTACTGTTTTTAAACGAGTGTAAACTTCAAATATTCATAGAATGCAAATATTAATTCATTAAATTAACAATGACAACTCTCAAAATCCAATCTCCACTCTCTTCCGGTCATTGACTTTAGGTAGCTATGTTTGTTTACTAATAAAACACTTCAATTTTTCAAACTATACATCCGCATGCATGATATAAATTTAATTTTCTGAGTTAATATTTAATTTTCTCAGCTTATGATAATTTAACATTGATGTTTAATAACCAATATCCTCAGCAATTTTCACATGTCACATATTTTATTCTGATAACATATAAATGTATTTTTAGATGAAACGGTTACAATTAGAACAATCTGTTACATTATATCTATATATATATATCACGTTGTTATTATATATGTAGGTGTTTTGGTTGACAATTCCTAAATAATATTTGCAAAGGTACGAAAGGTGCTAGAAATTAAGAATACTAACTAGATTCTGATCTGCTTTTTTATATTTTCTTTTATTTTTTCAAATTTTTTTTTTTTTGTAATTATATTAAATATATAAAGTTGCATATTTAAATCAATTAAGATAGTGCTTAATTTGTTTGTACTCCAAGTTTAACCTCAAAACCTCAAATTATAAAGTTTTGTACATTGAAATCGATATTTACCTTTTTAGTTTGATGCCTTTGATTTTATAATTAACTTATCAAACATTTGATACAAATAGTTTTTATTGTTTTTTAGAAATATTTGTTCAAACCTATACAACCAACTTAACTGTCGGATCAAAATACATCGAAATGATTAAAAAAGATTTATATTAATGTCTATATAAGATATAGTATATGTTTGGACAAATATTTCTATATAATATAATAGATGTTTTATTTTTTCATCTAATAATATTTTAATGTCATAAAATATGGTTATTATGTACATCTTAAACCTAACAAATTCTTTATTAGTATAGTTCATGACAGTTAATTTTCTTTACATTAAAAGGCTAAAATCAAAATCAAAATATTTTCTTCTTTTTAAATGACATAGTATTGGGCTCGTTCTGAAATCATATCATCATCTTCATCGCTTAATTGAAGTGTTTTTTATTGGGTAGTTTTCTGGGTTTACTCAACCCTAGAATAAAAAATTATAATCGAGTGAAAATAAGTTTGAAAATTTGAATAGATAACGAAGATGAAATCAACAAATCCTTTCTGAGTTGCTGTAAAGTTCTTTTATATTGAATAAGCAAGAGGAGAAAGAGGATGAGATTCGTATTATATTTACAAATTAATATTTTCGTATTGTATTTACAAACTAATATCTAACTGTGTATTGTTCATCGAAACCAGTGAATTTAATCATATATGTTAGAACACGTTAAGCTATGGAATTAAAACCAGTCGACATTTTTTAGCTATTAGAGAAGTGGATATCAGATTATTTAGGAACTACGACGGACTCAATATAAATTCAGTAGTTACTTTTATATAATGGGAACAGTTGGACATAATATTTATCAACTGGTCATGATGATTTTTTAATAGAATAGATTAAAAGGATATAAACAAGAGTAACAAATATGGCTTGGCGTTGGGTGATGGACTCGGCCGCTTATGTGTGGCGGTCGTGAGATGTTTAGTCCAGTTCCAGAACCGGTGAAGGTTAGCTTTAAGCTTGAACCCGTGACTCCCATGTTTGTGGCTATTCCTAGGATTGTCTTGCTTTTGTTTATGTGTTAGTCCTTAGCTAAAGGTTCGTGATGCTGTTTTGTTCCGAAACAGTGACTGCTTGGGTTCTATGAAGCAAATGGCTGGTTCTGTTCATCATCCTCTTGACTTGTTTGGGTTGCTTTTCTAGTTTCGAATATGTTTTCTGGTGTGTGATGCAGGATTAAACTGGCTCTGATGTGGGTTATTACTTCTTCCATCAGAGTTGGAAAGGTGTATCTCAGTCGGGCCAGGGCAATGGTGGTTATGGGTTTGTTCAGCCTTGGTATGTGCTTTACTGTTGGAATGTGACTTGTTTTCTTTGACTTTCTGGATCATGTTGGTCTCGAGGTTGTGATGACTGGTGAGTTCTTATTGGATGCGGTTACTGGTTAGGTTCTTCTAACTGGAATTTGAAGTTGTCGTCTGGCCTTTGTGGCGTCTTTTCTTTTATCGGACTTGCCTTCGGTAAGGATTCGATGCTCGACCTTTAGACTTCAAGGTATAATGTTCTATGTGATGTTTTGATGAGGCGAGGTTCTGCTGTTCTTTGGTGTTTAACCGACGGATTTCTCCAGATTTCTTGATTAGGAATTGTGAAATTTTAGGACAATCGCGTCTGGTCTTTGTGTAGTTTGATTGTTAATCGTCTCTTCGTCATCTGCTCGGGTGAAAATTCACTTTCTTGTGGCTTCCAAGTTGAAGCTTGTTCTTGAGTGGTGGATGCTCATGGTTCTTTATAGAGATGTTCTCTCTGACCGTCAATGTCTTCTCGCTTATCCTGGCTTTTCTTACTATCTTGCATCGCATTTATATTGTTAGTTTGTTTGGTCTAGAAGGTCTCGTTAATCTTGTTCTCTTCTTGGTTTATGTTAATTTAGTTGCTTTGTAGAGTCCATCTATGGTTGGTGCCGGGGATATGTTTATCTCGTCGACTGTGTGGCTCCAGAAAGAAAGGTGTGTGTACTTTTGCCGGCTTAGGTATGTCTCACTTGTATTTCAGCTGTGACAATATAATCTTTAGATGACGAAGAAAACAAGAGTAACAAGAGTAACGAATATGTTTCTAAATACATGATATTGAACGTGAAAATAGCATGGTTAATTTACCAATGTAAATTTAAACAAGTAGATAATTATAGGTCCCATCATTTCTATACTGTTTGTGCATTCATATATATATATCTAAAATAACCAGTAGTATATCCTTATTATATCATCTATTTAGCATTTTAATTCAACATATCATCTATTTACCATATATCCCAAATATTACATAGAAAGGATTTGAAGGCCTTAAGAAACATTGACAAACCTTGAACCAATTAGCACGGAATCAGTGTGATATGAGTTGGTCAACTACAGAAAATAGCATTATGTGTTTTTGGATTGATCCAGTGTATTAGAAACTATATATATACACATCATAAACACAGCAGTATACTAATCATAAACTTTATAAAGTTGTTAGATTTTATAGTTTTCCTTGCTATTTAAATAATTTCGTGGAGAAATGCTAGTTTAATTTTGTAATTAAGTAAATTCTCTTAGGTCATGATGGCATGAGCCCGCTGATATGCATATAATATTCTCATTTTCTAACATATCCTCGCATAGAGAATCTTTTGTTTTTTGTATTCAAAATCTAGTAAAAAGGATTAAAACTTTAATAATCCAATTAAGGCTACTAACCTATAATAATATTTGTTTAAGACCAAACTCATGTGAACACATCGACTTTCTTCTCCTATATAATAACCAACGAGTCTTCAAAATATTTCACATAACATAAACACAAACACCTCTCCTGATTCTAAAAATACTAATGACGATAAGTTCGAAAACACAATTTCCCCTAAGCCTTCCGGTCATTGACTTCTCCATTTCAAATCTCAAACCGAAAACTCCCGAGTGGGACTTGGTGAGAGCCCAAGTCCGAACAGCCCTAGAAGAGTACGGATGTTTCGAGGCCTTGTTTGACGGAGCTTCAGTAGAGCTACGTAAGGCTCTGTTCGAGGCCTCGGAGGAAGTTTTCAATTTACCATTGGAAACCAAACTGAGTACAAAGTCTAACAAACTCTACAAAGGATACGCTGGTCAGGTTCCGACTATACCTTTATACGAAGGTATGGGCTTTGACGGTGCAGATAATCCTGAAGTTGTTGATGAAATGACCTACAAGCTTTGGCCTCAAGGCAACATCACCTTCAGGTTCTCTTTCTTTTATATGCCCTTGTTGTTCCTTATGAATAAATGTTTGCATTTCTTTCTAGAAGTCTATATAAATATATACATATATATATATATATATAATATATATGTGAATTATCAGGATGTAATAAATTTAAACATAGTTCTTTGTATTAGAAAAGTGTAACTAGAGGCTCTATAACCAAAATAATCAAGGTATCAAGACTATCTCCAATGGTGTGTTTACCAATTTTGTTTCATTTTTTTGTTCCAGTGTTAGTTCATTTTTTATTCATTTCTTGAAATTTGAAGAAGTACTATCCCATCCTTCATTTTTATAAAACGGACCATTTTTTTACAAATTAATTTTTAACTTTAATTTGTTGTTATTTTGTTATTAAATAAATTAAAGTATTGATGTAAAAATTTGATTCCAAGTTTATACTATTATTTTCATCTAATTAGATGTTCAGAGAAAAGAACATGGAAATATTAATTTCTGAGAAATTTATCTTCGATTAGGAAGAATTTAGAATAAAATACTTGGTGTTACTTTATAAAATCTAATATTTTATATTTTTATGTTATAATAAATAGTAACTATGTCAACTTACTGTTAAAATAAAATAGTTAGGTAAAATCTCTAAGTTTTAAAAAGTAGAAAATATTATTAATAACTAATTATAAAGTGATAATATACTTAGAATATTATTTATTGAAAAAATAATTGAAGAAAACTGTTGAAGAACATGCACCTACATTTTTCTAGAAAGTCAAATTTTGAAAAAAAAGAATGAAATTAACCATTGGAGATGCTACTAAGAAGCTTTGTATAACACATTATTTTAACTAATGTCGCCTTTTAAATATATAGCAAATAGTGTATAACCAAAGGTAAAACTCTGATACAAATAGATTAAAGAATAAATACGTTTGTATATTTTTGCCTTTCTCTTTTCTTTTTGGTATGAATATTTTTCTATCTTGCAGCAAGAATGTTCAGTCATTCGCGCAGAATTTAATAGCATTAGACGTGAAGGTGAGGACTATGATCATGGAGAGTTTCGGGCTCGAGAAATACGTTGAGGAGCACCTTAACTCAGCGGGGAAACACTTTCGTCTTATTAAATATAGAGGACTTGACGAAAATACACATGAGCAGCTAGGCCTTGACCCTCATATCGATAGACATTTCCTCACCATACTTTGTCAAAATGACGTAGTAGATGGCTTGGAGATCAAAACCAAAGATGGTGAAGAGTGGTTCAAAGCTAAGCCATCTCAAGACTCTTCTTTCCTTGTCATAGCCGGAGCTTCACTTCATGTAATAAGATTAAGCTTCCTTGAGTCTCAATCATCAATCATGTAGTCATTTTTTGTTTCATGTAGTCATCTTTGATTATTCTATCAACATCAAATATGGGTTTTGTAGGTACTACTCAGTGCCGGTCCAACATTTTCGGATGCCCCAAGCAAAACTTTTGTTAAAAGAGATTTGCATGTTATGTATTTTTGAGTTTTGTTTTTTTTCGTCATCAAACGAAAACATACTCAGGATGATAATTTTGCGTCCGTGTGAATGACAAACGATGGCTGTTTTCTGACATTGCGTGTAAGACTATTTGTTCTGTGTTTTGAGTACACTAACAATCGTCGATTTGTGGAAATTTTCCTTCTAGAATCTTGATGTGTTCTAAATTAAGTTTTTTTGTTTGTTTTAAATTACAAAAAATTACACATAAAATGCAAACAAAAAAAAAACACTAAAGACACAATCCAACTCATCTAAGCCAAGAATGTTTGAAACCTAATATCAACATGTCTTACTATGTTTTATATATAATATCAATATATAATATAAATAACACTAAAATTATAAGCAA